ATTTGTGAAAATGAGCCGCTCAAGTAAGTTGTAAAATTTATTAAAAAATTAATTAGTGGTGTTATAAAAGTGAATTATGCATTAATTAGTTAACCTAATATTAAATTTTATTATTATACATAGAGTTTTTAATTTATTAATGAAAAAAGTGAAGTTTGGAGCATATTTTAGTGAAGTGCATCAATTGTGCGCATTGGGTCTTGTGTCATTGAAAATTTATAATTGTTTTTTAGAAACATTGACAGAAGAAGACATTCTTAACGCGTTACTAGATTCCGATTTGGAAGATTTTAGTGGTGACGACGAAGTGCTGGACAAAAATTACTTGCCATGTGAAAGCACTGACAGCGAAAACTCCGAACCAGATGATGAACACCAAAAGCAATTCTCGGAAATCGGTAAAAATGCAACTGACGAAGAAGGAATCAGACCAGTAAGTCTAGTTCAGCTCTTGTAAAATAAAAAATTAATATTCATCCTAACAAAAAATTTACAGACTTCTTCCCGTCGACTTATATGGAAACGGAAACCGTTTTCTCCCCGAGCAGAAGAAACAGCTATCCCAACAGAATGTGTAAGATGAATTTATAGTAAATTTAACTTTTAAAACATTAAAATTTTACAGGCGGTATGGTTAAAACTCCACTACAGTATTTTACGAGATATTTTGATGACAACTTTTTTGAAAATGCTGCTGGTTGTACAAATAGGTACACTGTCTTAAAAACTGGAGAGAGTTCGCATACTAGTTCTGGAGAAATAAAAAATTTCTTTGGAATGCTTATTGCAATGGGATGTGTGCGTTTTCCCAGAATTCGTATGTACTGGCAGCAAAAATTTAGCATTCCAATAGTTGCGAACACCATGAGTCGCAATCGCTTTTTTAAATTGAGGAACTCATTCCACGTTGTCTTCGAAAATGATATCACAGAGTCGCAGAAAAAAGCTAACGTATATTGGAGAGTTCAGCCAGTTATTGATGCAGTAAGAAGAGCTTGTCTCAGTATTCCAAGGAAGGAGCACGGCCGGTATTCAATTGACGAACAAATGATTCCATTTACCGGTCGTTGTCCAGCGAGACAAAGCCTGCCAAACAAACCAAGGGGTATCGGTCTGAAAAATGAAGTGCTCACAACATCAGAAGGGATGGTGCTGGATTTCGAAATATATCAAGGCAAAACCACGCCACTTACAGAAGAAGACCTTGGAGTCGGACCAGCATTTGTTTTGCGACTTGTACAAACACTTCCTAAAGGTTCCAAAGTGTTTTTTGACAGATATTTCACAACCCTACCCCTTTTAGATCGACTTTTGGCAAAGGGAATATTCGGCACTGGAACGATTATGAAAAAAAGAGTAAAATGTATCACTATGACTGAGGAAAGAAAAATGAAAAGAGGAGATATGGAGGAATTCTGTAGTCCTGACGATAAACATGTTATCGTACAATGGAAGGATTCTAAATCTGTATTATTAGCGTCTTCTGCATTTGGATGTGGTCCAGTTACGGATGTTAAAAGATGGTGCAAAAAAGAAAAGAAATTTATGCAATTTGCATGCCCAAGCGTTGTCAGAGAGTATAATAAATCGATGGGTGGTGTCGATATTTGCGATCAACTAATGGAAGCATATCGTACTTTTTTTAAAACGAGAAAATGGCCACTAAAAGTAACCATTCACTTTATTGATTTGGCTTGTTGTAACGCATGGATGGAGTACCGCGAAGACTGTCGTAAAGCTCAAACTCCTTTGAAAGATACACTTGACCTGTTAGCTTTTCGGCTTTCTGTAGCCGAAGCACTCGTTTGCATCGAAAAAAAAAAAAAACGTTGAATGGTTCTCTGGATCGGATACGGATGAGGAAGAAGTTTTGCCGCCAAAGAGACGCCGTCCTGCAGAGCATCCTTGTAACGAAAAGCGTCAAGATGGATTTCATCATTGGCCAGCTGAAGAGGACATAAAATCCGCAAAAATGTGTCGGCGTAAAGGTTGCTTATCGCGTACACGCACTAGATGTGAAAAATGTAATGTTTTCTTGTGTTTATCCAAGAATAAAAATTGTTTCAAAGAATAATACACTGACAAATAAATATTTTTTGGTAAAAATCAATGTTTAAATAATCTCGTGTTTTTTTACAAGATAGGCCCACATGCATCAATTCTGCGAGTCCTTAAAAACTTGGAAGGACATAAGATTAACTGTACTAAGAAGTGATTTCGGTTTTAGGGTCATAAAAACATGAACATAACTAAAAATTTAAAAAATTGTACAAGTAGTTTAGCCATGGGTCTGAAAGGGATACGGCTCCGTATGGCGGAGGTGGAAAACGTGTTTCGCAGACACCCAGTTTAGTATTGAAGTAGACCCAATCTTTGTAAACTATGTAAATGACATGTGGCAGGACCACGTCGACAGACTCTTCAAGAAATTTTACTAGTTTGTAGTCGTACAAGTCGTAGTCAATATCCATTGCGATTTTGTCACCAGATATGCCTTCTACAAACATTTTTTAATTGTTAACGCCATCGCATAGTTACACTATATAAATTACACAGCACATAAAAACGTAACGATCGATACTAACCTCAGTATTTTTGTACAAATGTCAATAAGGAAACTCAAGTCGAGTGGACCAATGTTAACGTATCCATTCAACTCAAGTCGTATTCAGATGTGGATATTACACAACGAACTATGTAGTAAACCAATAACAAAATCCATAAATGTAATAACGCAAAAATTAGTGACTTTGTTCATTCAAGATGAACCTGACAAACAAAAAACAATGTTTACCATGCCTCTTCTCCACCGCGATGGGAAATGATTTTTTTTATTTTTTATTTGTGTTCCACGAATGTAATATGCAGTATATTTTTATCTTGACGAATAAAATGCTTCAACAAAATTGTTTTGTTTATTTCTCTCTAACACACACGCTCCATCTTTCTCTCAAACGATATTTTGCTAATAAATACAGCTTCTAATAACATGAATATTTTTTATTCGGGATATTGTGGGTAAAATCTAGCTAGGTACTAGCTTGAGTATGTGTGCAAACGCCAATAAAGAGGCAGTCTGACTTAGGGCCTAGATGTCTCCTAGATAAATTTTCCTATCCTGTTCGCAGCTAGTAAAACCTAGCTAGGCACTTTCTAGATTGCATGATATAATGCCAGTAAATAGGCG